TCCACAGATGCCATTTTTTAATGGATTTTTTGTCAGAGCACTGAAGATATTCATTGCTATCGGAATGTTAAGAGCATTCCATGGAATATAACAAAAAGTGTATCTCGAGCCGGTTTCTCAAACTTACCTACCCCACCTTTAATGTCAGCTTAGTAAAAAAAAAAACATTAGCTAACAGACTAATTTCCACCACTCATGGACCACACCCACCTTTTCTTGTGAAAAACTTTAGTCCCTCTCTCTTGTCTTTCTCTCCTTTTTCTTCTTTTCTTAGAGCCTGACTTTTTGAGTCGTTGAGACATGGTACAACCATAGGGTACAACCAACACACGCTTTCACTCTCTGACTGCAAGTGCAGGTGACGCACGTTTGGAGGCAGGACCAAACCATTGTAAATAGAAGGGTGTGTACAGAGGCTTTGGATAATTAACTTTTGTAAGAAAATAAGTTCAATGAATCGTAAGTTTAGTGAGTACTTTATCAATATAACGTTCTATTAATGTTAATTCTTGAGGATTGATGAAAGGTTACTTACATAATGTTTTCGTAATGTTCTAAACATTTTGGGGCCCCTGTCAATCACGGGCCCTTAGAATCGTCCTAACTTTTCACCCTCTTACGGCACCCCTGTGCGTAGTCATCAGAATGCATGAACATGTATCCACCAACGTATAGCATGCTACAGTCATGCAATGTAAGATACTAATATTAGAATAATGTATTTATTATAATGTCCGATTATTTTTTTAGTAAACAAATGTCTTCACCCTATAAATACTAATAAGTATTCTGCCATGAGGTAAATCTCAAACTATTATTTTTTGTTATCATCCTTTTGTCCAGTTTAAAAGCTAGGCACTGATAGTTCAACCGAGAAATTTGGAAGCCAAAATAATATTATTTATTTTTCCTCATCTTATTTTGAAAACATGAGACCGGAAAGACTGTCTCTCTCTTCTCCGCGGGCCACGGGCAGTTTGACAGTGGTACTTGAGACGGCTGTCAGCAGGCTCCATTCTCCCTGAAAGTCTCAGTGAACAGCGTGCTTCTCTCAGCATGGCATCTGACGAGCTGGCAAAGAAGCTGCAGTCGCGGCTGGCGACTACGCAGGAGACCGAGCCGAGGCCGGAGCCAGAACACAGCCCAGTCCGACCCAAGCCGCAGGAGGCCGATGGAGCCTGCGGAGACTCGTCCTCCGAGCTGTCCGCGATACTGACCCGCAGGCAGGACATCAACGAGGGCAACGCTGCTCCACGGCTGACCCGCGTCTTCAACCCCTACACGGAATTCAAGGAGTTCTCCCGCAAGCAGATCAAGGACATGGAGATGATGTTCAAACGGTAACCTGCCGTCGTGTTGTCCTCTCAAACGCAGTCCGACATGTTTACGCGTAGTCGTGGGGATTTGGGCTGAATGAGCGTGTGCGGCGGGAAGCTCATGATGAGATTAAGATGCTGCTGTGACGTGAAGCCTCCCCGTGAAGCAGGCTGTCACTTTTTGGGGGATTCACACTGACTCATTACTGCAGTCTTTGTTGCTAGTACCCCACATGTTATCCCTCTACCTCTAGTGTTGTGTCGTGATCAGAGGAGAGACCTGGCTGTGGCTTGCTACGCATCTCCTATAAAATTGACAACCTCAGCTGGCCAAGATATGCTGTGCAGGGCAAAGGAAATAGTCTATGGAGTCCCAGGTCTATCACTAAATGGTCAAATTTAAACTACATTTAAAAACATCATTTAATTATAATGCCATACAGTAATGTAAACGGTTTTGTTTGACCAACAGTCAAACATCCAAATATATTTAATTATCTTGGCTTTTATGATAGGGAATTATGAAAGTTATGTTGGTTTTCATGCTGTTTTAGATTTAATTGCTGGTCAAATTGACCTGGAACTCTTTTTTTATGTGTAACATGAGGCTTGAGTTAAACTCGGAATGTCACAGTTATCAATTTTATGATAAATGTGTGTGGACTTCCAGGTCTTTTAGTTGAACATTTGAACTGAGAAGCACTGGTGATGTCACTGTAGAACATTTAGGTGAAGCCTGTTTTGGCACACAACAAGCTTTTGCTCCCTCTCTCTTTCTCAATCGCACTTTCTAAACCCAACCTGCGCACTGAGTTATAAAAATAAATCAAATAAAAAAGATGCTTAGGCCCTGTGGCAGTTAATTAGTGTAAAGTTTGATTGTTAAACAGGAGTACCTTTACATTGTTGCTTCGAAAAATTCGACCACATCTGCTCTGGCAAATTACAATATATTTAAATTGATTCAAACCAAATGAGTCTTATTATTGTGTTAACAGTATGTTGACTCAACAGGTGACATAAGCTGATTCTGAGACTTCATAGTTGACTGTCATCGCGTGTTGGTATGCTTTCAGTCCAGAATGAGAGCAGCTATTGTCTTTGGAAGTTTCCTCAGGGGCAGACCCTGCCACGCGACAGCAGTATCATTGTGTGCATGCTGCTGGAATCTCGGGTCACGACTCTTTTGTTATCACGAGTCAAAATTGATCCCTGCAGTTCTTTGTAAAATCTGGAGCTGTCAGTTGAAGTTTTTTTTTTTAACCTTTATATAATCACAAGTGATTCAGACTCGTATATCTTAACAACTAGAATTCTGAACACCCCATTGTAATGACTTGAATACTTTGGTTTGTGGCTAAATAGATTGGTTTAGTGGTGACACATTTGTATTGGCCGACCGGGAAGTCATCATTGCAAGGGGTCCCTTTGGAAAACAAGTGATGGGATTTCTCATTGGTTTTCTGAATATTGCAGAATATACACTGAACAAAAATATAAATGCAACACTTGTTTTTGCTCCCATTTTTCATGAGATGAACTCAAAGATCTAAAACATTTTCTATATACAAAATAACCATTTCTCTCATATATTGTTGACAAATCTGAAAAAATCTGTGACAGTGAGCATTTCTCCTTTGCCAAGATAATCCATCCCACCTCACAGGTGATATCAAGATGCTGATTAGACAGCATGATTATTGCACAGGTGTGCCTTAGGCTGGCCACAATAAAAGGTTACTCTGAAACGTGCAGTTTTGCTTTATTGGGGGGGTCTGGGGGGGTCCGAAAACCAGTCAGTATCTGGTGTGACCACCATTTGCCTCACGCAGTGCAACACATCTCCTTTGCATAGAGTTGATCAGTTTGTTGATTGTGGCCTGTGGAATGTTGGTCCACTCCTCTTCAATGGCTGTGCGAAGTTGCTGGATATTGGCAGGAACTGGAACACGCTGTCGTATACGCCGATCCAGAGCATCCCAAACATGCTCAATGGGTGACATGTTAGGGTTAGGGTTTAACCCCAGGGTTTTCGGACCCCC